TATAATTATATATATAAATATGTATAATTATATATAATAATATATAAAATTCTCCCCTATCAGCTGAGTGCTGGAAAACTGACAGAACCAAGCATGGCCATATCCAGCAGACTGTGTAATCCGCTGTACACTCAATCAAGCAGATGCCTCAATGCCATGACAACTTCTACAGCTTATACAACTTGAGGAGTTTTCTACTCTGAAATGTCAATATAAAGTTTCAAACTGCATTTCTACCAATGCTCTTAAGCCCTGCTTAGGCAGCTTCTAGGAATAAATTCTTTCTGTGGCACACACATACTGTTGCCTGCCTTGAACTGCTGGCTATAAGCCTCCAAAAGTAGAATGCACATTCTTAGACCACTCAAGTATCGAGGAAGGGAGGTCAATACAGTATTTAACCTGCTGGAAACCCTACTGCAGGGCAATTCAAGATTGAGAAACACAAGGCCTAAATGGAAAAACAGGGTAAGATAGGCCAAGATTTTAGTAAACTTGTGCAAGCCCTTATAAGTACATTTTGTTTGCTAAACTAAAATAATAAAGACAGCATGCTACACAGAGAGTGGTAGTTTGTACACTAAATTAGCAATAACAAATAGTATATAATAAATTTCAATTTACCATTCTTTTCTACTCTCCAGAAAATTAGCAGCTTACTCTCTCGAAATTTTAAATAAGAAACTTAAATTTAACCTGCTTTGTTATATATAAATGTACAAAAAAGGTAATTTTTCTGATTTTATTATTTGAAGAGGCTGGGGCTCCTGTTTTCTAGGTTCCAGAGACGATCATATCCAATTTTAGCTCCTTCACTGCTACGGGTGCTGTAGGTCTCTTCCTAATACTGTGCTGAAGAAACTTCTACTCCTGCTCTTTAAACCACTCTACATTACTTTCCCTTCTCTAAGCCTAGTTCCCGCTTTTTCTAATTTTCCCAAGAGAAGTACTTTGAGTGTGCTAAAACTGAAATCCTCATGATTTTGAAAAAGGTGTACAAAAGCAAATCCACATTTAAGACAATTCTGTTAAAGGAGAACTCAGGGTTAGGGTGGGATTACTATACCATACTATTAAAAATATTAGCCAGCAAAAGAAGTCTAAGAAACACATTTTTGTTAAGATATTGAAATAATCTTAAAAGGAATAATAGGGGCACTGGAAATCATGGTTATTAATCCCCTTTTCCAAATGAAATCAAGTTAGAGAGAGCGTCCTAGAGGTAGACTCAGCATCAAGCTTTCATGTGTTCACTCCAGCTCTAGCCTGCCATCCACATGCTTAAGGCCATAGCAATTAAGCACGTGTTCCATGAGAGGAAACTGTCTAGCCCATCAAGGTAGCCTCTAAATATTAAGTAAATAAACAAAGGAAAAACAATTGTTACCGTTTTGGGTTCTGGCTTCTGGGAACCCTTTCCTGGGGTGCTTCTGTTGTACTGTAACCTTCTTTCTCTTTCCTGTTTTAGTTCTAACTCAAGCTGGTTCCTGGGATAGGTGGGAGAGGAAAAGGATGAACATTTGGATTTCTGTACCCATAGTCTCTAAAGAATACCAAATCCTTCTCTTAAAGTTCAATAATTAAATTTTAATACTTGATTAATAGAAAGTTACCACATATATATGGGCAGCCAGGTTTTAAAGTATTAAAATACACTATAATAAAACCAGTAGTATTAAAATACATGTAAATTTAATCTTTCTTAGATTAAGAATGTACTTTTAGACCACAGGGAAGGAGTAGGGGGGAAGTAGATGGGGTATAAGGGATCAAATATTTGGTGACGGAAGGAAATCTAACTATGGGAGGTAAACACGCAATGCGATATATATATAACATACTGTTGAATTGTATGTATTGAAACGTATTGGATTTTGTTGATTTTTAATTTTAAAAAATGCACTTTTAGATCTCCCAGTACCTGAGGGTCACCATTCTGAATATCAGTGTTTAATATTAAGTCTTAATGAAAAGTTGTAGATAACTGAATAACTGAAAGACAGTATTTATAAATTTCAGCAAAATATAGTATGAAAGCACTGATATTGTAGTCCCATTTCATATTAATTAGCTGGTCTCTCTCTACATTTATGTGGTCAATTCCCAGCTACACCCCTAAACCACTTCACTAGTGTCCTTAGTAGCAGCTATGTGCTTTTATATCTAACAACCAAGTTCTATTTGTAGTCAGTGGCTTCAGCACAGAATTGAGTCTCATTTGAGAGGTAATATGGAAGAATGGTTAAGGGCCTTGAGTCAGTGAGAGGTTTTTAGAGTGTTGCTACTTATTAGCTTAATTGTGTGAAGTTGGACAAAGTTAACCCCTCTAAGCTTTAATTTCATCTGAAAATGGGGATAATAAGTTCACCTGCTAATATACTAATAGGGTTGAGGGTAAGATGTTAGGAGAAAATGCATGTGAAGTACTTAGTTAAGTAGCTGGCACACATTAAGAATCCAGGAAATAAGTTATTATTAGTGCTATGTTGGCTATTAATTCTCTTACGCCTTCGTTATTTTTCTGGGGCCTTGGGTTCTAACTTCCTAATTCTTTGATCGGAAAGGATGTTGACAAGATTTTGGGAATGTTAATGTATGTGAAGCTTTCTGAATTCTAATTCCAGAGAAAGGACACTGCAAAGACAGAAAGGAGATGGCTGGATCATGGGCCCCCTTCTCTTGCTGTCTAGCCTTGGAATTACCCATGACCACCCTGTTAGTGCAAGCCGCCCTCTCGTCACCGCTGCCTGGTGAGCTCCTCTACTTCCAGCTGCAGACTGTTGATCTTCTCTCCGAAGTCTTGCTTGAAGAGCCGGTTGTCCAACTCAGCAGACTGGCGGCATCGCTCAGCCTGGCGCAATCTGGATGTGAGCCACATGAACTTGTGATAAAAAACAAAAGCCATGGTGGGGAGGAAGACCAAGTTCACAACACAAAATAAAACAACCCAAAGAAGAACGCATGGAAAGACAGAGGAAACAACAAACTTTTCAGGACAAAGGGAAGACATTATGGGGGGAAGATGGAGAAGAAACAAATTCTAAAGAAAAGCAAGATGAAGGTGAACCAGGCAGAGGAAAAGTGATTTTCCATTTTTTTTTTTTATTCTAGTACTACAGTTTACAGCCATTAGATGATAAACAACAAAACATCACTTTTTAGAAATTCCATATCCAAAGCCAACCTCAAGCACACAGTTATTAAAGTTAAATCCACTTGTTTGTTTGTTTTTATTTCCTAATTAGTGTGGTATTTTATATTTGTTTATACACTTAACTGGAACTTGCAAATGGGCAACTACATTCTTATATGTGGAATTAGGACATTTTCCTGGTCCTTCCCCTAAACCACAAATTGCATTAAATCATTAGACATCATACATCAACCTTTACCCAGGCTCTGGGTTATGTAAGGCAAAGCCTTTGTCAGTTTAGCCATCTCTTTCCTTTTCTATTCCTACCAAGTGGTATGTGACTAAGTGGACGAACGATTCAGCACCAGGCCTGTAAAAGATTCCTGACCATATTCTCTGGAAGATCCTGATGTATGTTTTCTGCTATATGTCCTATAACTTTGCACCGAAAAAGAATGTTCTAAAAGGTGAAACATCTGGGACTCTATGTAATAGAATTTGGAAGCATGCTATGTGTAGTCTTTAAAATGTTTTATTTTGCTGTTTAAGCACTCCTTCCAAATGCTCACAGAGAAGGCAACTTGCCACAAAAGGTCGATGAAGATAACAAGAGGTGCAAAATTATAAGAACTAAAATAAGCTGAAGAGCACAGGATCTTCCATGAGGTTAGTCATGTACTCTTTGACTTGATTTTGGTTCAAGTCTGCAAGGACCTATAAAAGCATAGGTGAAATCTATTGTACTCTTAATTTCTGTTTTTCCAAGAAGGTGGTAAAGAATTGCAAGAGCTGGAAGCAAAGGAGTTATCTCTGTCCCTGCCTAAGCAGCTGAAATGCTGCCAATCATACCAGAATGAGAAAAAAAGAGAAAAAAATAAAAAAAATTGCCACAACTTTTTGAATGAAGGTTTAAGGAAAGCCTGTCCCTCTAAATCAAAAGTCGTTAAAGAAAAAAATCAAAGTATTATATGATTATTTACATTGTAAAGCCTAGAAAGTGTTATGCCTGTGTTCACTTGGAGAAAGAAGCCCTGCAAATTATTGTTGATATCTAGTGGGGATCTTTATTTTTAGACTAATAATAAAGAATGTAAGTTTATAATTTACCTATTTCCTACTCTGAAATGATTTTCTAATAATTAGAAGGTTAGTTTCACAGAACCTTTAGGAACTCCCCATCAGAACAAAAAGTAACAGAAATTCTTAAGAAAATGTTTCCAGCAAGGAATGACATGCAGGAAACCATTACTTGTGTCAATACCTTGTCGTTTTTACTCCAAAAGGGAAAAGCAGGATAGATTCTTAAAATGTGTACTGTATTTTTTTATATAGGAGAGAAGTGTTTTCATTAAAATTGTTCTCTATGAACTACCTAAATAAGAAGTAGAATTGCAGGAAAATGGCAGAGGTAGAGATGACAAATATTAAGAGGGTTTTCCCAAGCTTCCACATTACTGTGTTATCATAAGTTATCTAATCACTAACTTTATCTCTATGTACTTTAAAGAAATGTAAGGATGCTGTTTCCCTCCCCACCCAAAGTTACTAAGGCAAAAAAGTTGCAAGCAATCTTGGTTACTGAGAATAGAACTGTAGTGAAATACTAAGTACTTATTATCCTGGCTTGGGGATTAAACCTATATAAAGAAAGTGAAAACGGGTCACGGCCTAAGAGACACAGAACTACTTTAGAAGAGTCCAAGTCCATATGGTAGTCACCTCCAGTTCATCACATCTCAACGGCAGTACAAGCACGCTGATACAGACAATGCACCAGAATCGGATATCATCAGGGTCTGGGTTGTAAAGGCATCGATAATATGTGTACAAAGCTTCAATTCCCTAGGCTTTTTCTTAATGGAGTATTTATTTATAGGTCAACTGAGAAATAATTTCTCAAAGTTTATTTGGCATTTAATTAAGAACTTATACTAAATCTTCTTCTAACTCTGGGGAGAAAATAAAGAAGAAAAAACACAGCCTATATATCAAACTTTTTTAAAAGTCCAACAAATTCAATTTTTGGTGATATTTTATAAATATCAGAGCCTAAATATAATAACTTTCTTCCTTTTACAATTAAGTTGTGATATCAGACTTGCGAGGTGACCAACTGCAAAATGCCTACTGATGTTTTGGAATCAATTTATTTGCTGCACTATTTAAGGTCTTTGCCTGTTTCACCAAATCCTTTTCACTAAATTAATAAAATAAAAATAAAAATTGAGTGGAAGGGAAATGAGAAAATGGATAAACAGGAAAGACAAAAACAGCAAGAGAATTAGTCAGTTTAATACTTGAAGAGATAAGTCATTATTTCAGTTCTGTCTGCTTTAAATTCCAAGTTAAAAAAAAACACTGAAAAATAATTTAAAAAATAGAACATTTCAAAACCACAATTTATGAACGCTAAAATCAGTTCGTTGAATCATAAACATGTAACTGCTTATGATAAACACTTAGATAACTTCCTTGATAAACCGATAAATAATTTTTTATTTAAAATCAGCCAAACCAAAATGTTAAAAATAAAAAAAATTAATGTTCAAAAAATAAAATAAAATAAAATCAGCTAAACTAGATGTTTCAAGCTTATTTATTAATTTTCAAATAACTTCTGAGTTAACATTAATATGCAGTGGCCACTGAGGACCCTCCCTGGTCAAGAATCATCTAGATAAAAGTCATCCATTCATCCATTCGTTCATGTATCTACTAAATGAACGGCTTGTACATTCAAGGCACTGTGAACTAACCTCAAGGAGTACACATTCTCATCAAAAGATACAATAAAATACATTAAGAGTTATAAGGTAAGGCATAAAGTGAGATGTGCTATAAGCAGTATGGACAGATACAGATATAAGGCCATGGGAATCCCAACAAAGTTAGACTGGCAGATTATTTTTAGCTGAGAAGAAGTAACAAAGGAAGCTGTGAGTAAGTGTCATCTGAGCTCGAATGTAAAAAATGTATCTGAAGAACAAGGGAGTGGGAAGAGGAAGGGCATTTCCGGTGGATGGAACTATCAGGAAAGAAATGAATGGGAAAATGGGAAGTATGTCCAGGGACCAGTAAGTAGTTTAGTTTTGTCCAAGTGCAAAAAAAGACAATCAGTGAATTTATTAAAGGTGGCAACACAGGCAAGGCAACACTGAATGACCATGGGTGCCTGAGCTTGAAGTCTCAGCCATTTCTCTTGGCAGCTGAGTTACCAGAAAGAAAATGGTGGTTTCAGACCAAAAACGAAACAAAATTAGCAGAGGGAGAGGATGTATGTTGTGAGCTGTAGGTACTGGGGGGAAGTAGCTGGTCAGAAGATGAAAATGCAAGACTGGTCTCCAGAGACAGAGCTGGAGACAGACAGATTTAAGAGCTGTGGGTGGGAGGTGACAGTAGAAGCTATAGAACTGTTCAGGAGAAAGTAGAGAGTAGAGGAAGATGGGAGAGAGGAGAGAAAGGGGTTAAAGTTAGTAAAAGGGACCTCAGTATCTCTACATCACCTTGCACTGCAGTATTCAAAGACGTTAGTGATGAACAATAAAATAACAGAACCACAAACATATTTAAAAGTAGCTTTCACCCTTGCTACATATCCCCTCCCCTAACACATGACACTGAAACAGGATTAAATGAGAGGGTTAGAATTGCGCTATTCAAACAGTCAGGAAAGGCTGACATTTCTTAAAACGGTCTTCGGTGACATCTTAAAAGACATAAAATTGTATTGGCTTTCTTTCGAACCACATGCCTGATGTTAAGTTGGGAGAATTTCATATACTTTCACTTTGCCAAATGCATAGCACATTCTCTTCACTTCTAGCACTGAAGGACCAAAGTGTTTCACTAAAGAAACAGCACTTTACCTTTGTTCGAGTTGTTTAATGGTAGCAGCCATCTGATTAGTCTTCTCTTCTAAGCGACTGTTTAGTTCACTTTTCTGCTTTACTCCTAAGTCTGAACTCTGTTATGGAAAAGAACTATGGGTGATGTACATGTAACACAAAATCCTGGAATAAATCACACATGCCTTTTGAACCTAATGGTAACTGGGAACTAGAGAAACAGAAATGTCTATGTATTTGTATATCAGTTAATTCCCAAGTGGAAAAAAAACAAAAAGCAGTGTTTAAACTTAGTAGTAGTATATGCAGCTTGGTCACAAAAATCAACATCAGAAAGTTCATCAACTTATCATATTCCAGTATAAAAGCTAATGGGATACAAAACTAACTCAGTTGGCAGGTTAGACTGCAGAGTAGAAATTATCTTATAGGCTAAAAAAGATCCCTTTCCCCATTACAATTTGAGAAGTGGCTATGGCTTTCCAGAATAGCAATACAGGATCCTGCGATGGTCTGATTCCTAAAGTGGTTTATTGGCAGCTAGCCTCAAAATGAGATGTGACTCCTTCCTCTTGTATTTAAAGTGTGAGTCTAGAGAACAAGAGAGGCAGAAGGAAACCTGGGATTTTACTGAGCCAGTGAGCCTATTTCCATTTTCCCTACCTGTAGCTTAAAGGCGAGTTCATGCTTGAGAGCCCTGAGATCATCCAGCTGCTGCCGCAGACACACCAGGGCATCCTGCTTCTCACAGACATCCTTCTCCAGCATCTTCATAGCCAATTCCATCTCCTGTCTCATGCTGATCTGGATCTCCAGCTCTTTTTCAACATCCTGCCCACAAATACAAATAAATTGCTTACTTTCTTCATCTAAGCAGAAACCATAAAATTCCACAGGAAAAGGTAGACTAAACTCTCAGATCTAAATATTCTGGCAAAATAGCTATAAAGCTATTATTCTATGCAGAAACATTAACAACAAGAATAATAATTAGGATAATTACAATAACATTTATTCAATATTTTGCAAATCTGAAAAACTTGGTAGGCCAAAGAGTGCTATATAATATGTCTAAAACACATACTTAAGGTGCCTTCATTAGATATTAAGACAGAAAACTGATGTCATGTCTTATTATAGAAATATATATAAAGTGTTATAGTAGTCAACATAAAATGAAGCGGTTGCAATTATCTTCGATTTGGATATTGTCGACATATTCAGAGCCCAAAGAACCTAAAAGACACTTTGGATCCCCAGGGTAACATCTCAATTACTAGGATTGGTTAATATGGCTAACATTCATTTAACATGAAAGTCCTTTTTGTTTCAACTACTGTTATTGCAACATTATTTGGATGATGAAAGATACAAAGACCTGAGGTTCTTCTGCATTCAGGCCGAGCTCAGGGTACACCTAGGACCTTACCTACTTGCTTGGTTTCTTTCCTTTTTTAATGAACATTTCTCTTATTGTGATATAAAGATGTTGAAAACTTTATGTAAGATTTTTATCACATGCTGCTGAACTGAGGCATTCCACTGAACATAATTATTAGCATGACAGAAAATAAATCAGACTGCTTCTTAAAATGCTGACATGTATTATTTGTAAGACCTTTCCTATGAAAAGTATTTTGAGATCTAATTCACAAACACATATAGAAGGAAAATGATAATTACTTTGAAGATGTTAAAATAATATTGTTTTCTCAGAAAACCTGAAATTCTGTTCCATACACTATTAGTTTGTGATAATTTTTAGTATGCATCAGGCCATCCCTTATTATCATGCTTCTTCCTATTCTCAGAGACATTATTGGTGGGGGATCCTTTTGTTTGTTATACTATCTAAATTGCAGGAAGAGTTAATATACTAATACTACGGGTGTATTATATATACTGATACTTGGATAAAATCTATTACAGGAGTATTATTCTTTATTATACATTCTAATATACTTGGATAAAATCTATTACAGGAGTATTATTCTTTATTATACATTCTAATATACATGCATTTTTAATTTAAAAATTTAATTAAATTTTTAATTTAATTTTAAAATTAAATTAAATTTAAATATCTTAAGACTAATACCGATGACACATTTTTCTATTTATGTATAAGAACAAGAATAAATTCAGAAATAACAGCTAAAATTAGAAGAGTACAATTCTTCATTAATGATTCTTAGGAGAAGAGGAGGTGCCACCTCCAAGGAATGAGGGGAGGGGGAGTTACATCATTTAAAAAGTAGGTTTCATATACCTAATGTTTTTGCAATACAAACTATAAAAGCACAAAAATAAAGATTTGACTTTGCATGATGAACACATGATGAAATATGCAGATGATGTAGTACATATAATTTTATTAACCGATGTCACTCCAATAAATTTAATATAATTTAAAAATCCTATTGGATGTTGAGAATGCTCAGAAAATGGACTCAGAAAGCATTATAGAGAATATGAGTTAACAAGAGCAAGAAACAGTCTTATAGGATCCATAAAAAATTGTCAGAACATTACTGATATTCCTGATCTAGTTCTGTAAGATAACACCCTTGAGTAGGCTGTTAACATTTTAACATGTTCCTGCATTATCAGAATGTAAGCAAAGTTTACCAGTCGTAACTGTGTCTCCTCCTTTAAATGCTTTCTTGCTTCACTTAGTGCTTGCCCTTCTGAAGTTCTGTCTTGCTTAGGACCCTTGAAAAGGTAAATAAAACAGTACATACTTAAGGATTTAAAGAATCTATACAGTTGGTTGACACCAGCACTGCTATTTATTAAGGAAAAATGATCATATCTAAGCAGGTATGACAATGAATGAACACAACAAGGAAACTGAAGATGTTTAGTAAATTAACAATTATTAAGCTGAATTTCTGGAGATTTCTTGCCATTTTGTTTAAAGACCTAAGAGAGTTTACCAAACCAAGTGGTGGCAGTCTAAAAATCTGCCTCAAAAACCAAAATAGCCTTCACTATCAGCAATGATTTGGGCCAAAGATTCAAATGGTAATATGTCCCTTTTCCAGAGATCTCACGTCTGATGTCTCCAACCATTCACAGAGATCACAGCTAAAAATAAGGTTATCAGAAAATTCTTCTGAGGAGTTACAGTTGTTTTCACACAATCCACTTGTTAAAGTCAAACATGTTTCTCATAGAAAACTACTTCAGTCCCTATTCAGTCTAGTTACTTACTCTTTAGGAACAATTTTAATAACTGGATATCTGGATCTTAAGTCACAGTAGGTTAGAAGCATGCGGATAAAGGAGAATGGGGAGATCTTTCTAAAGAGAGCAATACTAATAGCAGTAAGAAGTAAGAGATGCCAGTGAAATCGTAAAAGGCAGGAAAAAAAAAACACAGCATAGCCATCTGGAAATATTTAAGTAAAGGTGCTAGAAGCTCTATCAATTTCAATAGTCCCCTAAAGTAGCACCATTATAATTTAGTATAGAACTGCCAATGTTGAAAATTATGATCTTCAGTCATCATGAAGGGCTAAGTGTGTTAAATTATATCCTCTACTTAAGAAGGCTTAGAATTGTGTAATACAGAAAAGGTTTGTAAAATATCTATTCAGACATATATAAAGTTTGGTACTCTTAAAAGGTAGTTACCTAGAAAATTAATTTATATAGTAACTTTCCCAGTGGTAACAGATAAACACTTCTTACAAAACAATAACATGATCTAAAATAATGGTATATTTAATATAACAAATATAACACTTATATGCAATATAAATCGTTAGTACATAAAACAAAAAACTGAATTAGACCATTTCTTGAAGTCTCTAAACAGATGTGGATGGCACTGAAGCCAAAGAGCATCTGTGGAAGGGGCACCACCCTCCCAAAACCATCATCATTCGCTCAGTTTTGCAGTCTCAGTAAAAACAGTGTGCTTGATGTATGTGAATGCGCGCTGCTTCCTAACAGTCCTCTAGAGGCTCCCCCCACAGCTAACACATTCACATGCTCTCTGGGAATATTTTATAAATCCAATAAAATTAACCTTCCGATTGGATTCCAATATGTAGGAGCTTTCCTCTTTAACTCGTTCCATTTCTTCTTGCAAGGTAATAATCCTATTGTTTGCAACTGCAAGCTGTTGATAAAATTAGAAAAATAATCTTTTATCTTTATTAACACAGGATAAGGTAATTTGTGATCTGCCAGGACATGATTTTCAGGCTTAGACATTCTTAGAAGGAAAGAAAGCTATCTATAACTCCATAAAAATGTCCTTATAGGGAACTGAAGAGAAGTATTTTGAAAGTAGGTTAGATAAAAATTATCTCCTTTTGCTGCTTTTTGAATAAACTTTTTTCAGTACCAGAATGTTAAGATCATTTACCTCAAGGGTATCCTCATGGATAACTTTTATAATTATATTTAGTTACAATACCCATTTCTAAAATGTTTAAGAGGTTACCTCATGCCTTGACCCATCTTATAAACCCTCTATAAGACTTTATATAGGTGATTTTTAAAAGAGTAAAGAAATGAACTCCTAAGTTCTCACTCTAAAAGGTGCCATTAAGCAATAAAGGGTTTTCATTTTAGCACCTAGAAAGGTAAGTAATGCTATTCGAAAAGTATTGCTAAGGGGAAACACTTAGATACTCACTCCACAGGAGAGAAAAGTAAAGTGGAAACACTTGTTCCTACTCCATATCTATTGACCTCTATTCCCCACAAAGAATCTGAAGGTGCCTGCATGAGGCTGGGAAAGGAACCAAGTGGGCTCCTCTCAGCTGGGATAGGGTTCCCTTTTAATATTTCTCCACTAGCAGTAGGTACAGTTTCTGCTTGGTTCCTGTTCTGATGTGTTAAGTACAGAGGAGCTAGGGCTCAAGCATGCTTTCCAGAGGCATGTGTGGAGGCCCATTTCTCTCTCTGCTCCATTGACCTAATAAAGTGTAAAGAAGTAACTCTGGGCAAGTGGGTCTGCTCTCTAGATCTGAGTGCACCCACAGGCAGCTTCTTCCAAGATCTCAACATCAGAGAAAGTATCAGGAAATGATGACTGTACATCCAAGTGGGCTTTCTAAACCGGCTTGACCAAAAATAAAGTGGATATTTATGTATCTTCATCAGCTTAATTCTCATTTTTTTTTTATATTGGTTCAGAACTCTGGAGGGAAAAAGAAGTCTGTTTTTGTTTTTCTTTAAACTGGTCTTAAATCCAAAATAGACGGAAATGAGAAAAGGCAAGCCTCATTAGCTTTATTTGCTCTTTATAAAGCCCACACACAAAGCTTGCCCACCTCTAAAAGTTCAAAATTTTAAGACAATAAGTCTTATTGGTAAAATAAATAAGTTAATGAAGAATAAATATGTTAGTAAAATAAACCTAGATCAGGAGGACAAATCTTGTGACTGAGAGAATGAAATTAACAACTACACTAAGTGGGTGCAATGTGTCAGGCACTGGTCTAGGCCCTTATGTATTAAATCATTTAATTCACACAAAAATCTTATTGTTTTATCATCCCCATTTTACAGATAAGCAAACCAAGGAATAGAGGTTTAAGTAACTGGCCCAGGATTAGAAAGCTAGCAAGAAAGCCAGAGCTGGGACATGAACTCAAGTAGCCTAGCTCTAGAGAGCATGCTTTGTTGCTATGCCACATTCCCTCCATATAACAGCAGTAGGATCACAATAGAAAATTTCTGTGCAGAATATTTGAAAGTCTTGGGGGATCAAATTCTAAGGGTCCTATCTATAAATTAAAGTTTTAATACAATTTTAGAATCTACACCCAAAAATGAAGAACACAGAGCTGAGTAATAAGGAAGGTGTTTTAAAGTTATAATGTTTATTCTGAAGAAAAAATGATTAAATAGCATTTCCTGCCTAGTGCTTTAACTTGGTTTTATTTAAATCAAATTTATCCCATTGTATGTAACAGAATAGTTAGAGAAGGTAAAGCCTTTGCCACTAGAAAAATTTTTTCGAGGTTTTTCTTTGTTTCTTTTTTAAATAGAAACATCTAATGTCATTAAAGAAAACAATATGCAGTTTAGCCTTTGGTAGATTACGAAAAAATACATTAATCAGAAGTGAAACATGAAGTTATTTTTCTCTTCTTATTTTATGGACTTTTCTCTAAGAGTTTTCACATATATATTCTTATCTGATCTTCAGAGTAACTGGGATGGTAAAAGAGGAATTATAAACACCCTCATTTGCCAGCTAGAGAACTGGGCCTTTGCCGGTCAAGTGACTTGCTCATGACATGTAAGCAGCACATGACATGTAAGCAGCATGGCATGTTAAGTAGGAATTACCGGTCTTCTGACCAGTGATCTTTATGTTATCTACCCACCACTGCAAGGAGAAAATAAGGCCCATGAAGGTGGGGAGCTTACCAATCTGGCACTTATAAATCAATGTCTGGCAAAATAAATCTTTGTCTAGCTCTAGCATATTAGTAGTACCTAAAATATTTGTTGAATAAATAAATGATAAGTATCAGGCTACATGCTAAACATTAACTCTAGGCTAGCCCAGATAAAACATTCACATGAAAGAAAGCGAGATATTTGATCAGTTTAGGGTCTATGCCTGCATAGTCTAGCTTTATAACTGAGACCCCTGAGATAAGCCAGCTGGCCATTCTTAGTCAGAACATGAGGTTATGTCCTATAGTAGACATTATCTGGAAAGTCAAGTCCTTCATCTCCAAGGCTCCAGAAAATTATTTTCTACTCATATACATTACTAAATTCTTTATATCAATCAAAGAATTTCCAGAACACTTACTTCCTCTGTCAGTTTAGTGTTGGATTTTTCTAATGCATCCACTTTTGCCTGAAGGTTGTTTACAGTAGCACTATCAAGAGAAAAAAAAAACATAATGGTCTCTTTTGAGAAACAGAACAATATCTTGTACTTTCCTTTTAAACACCCATCACGCTTTTCATTCATTGTAACGTCCACGATTTTTGATAGACTTGCAAACTCTAAAATAGCTTATGAGATGCTGTGTATCTTTAAACTGCTCCATCCTTGACACTGAAATTTATATTTAATAAGCATTTTTTGAATGAAATAAAATAGCAAATATATAGTAAACTTTAAGGTTTACATATATTTTTTATATATAGTAACAACAGGCTACATGAATTAAGTGCTTGCCATACACTAAGCACTTTTCTAGATGATTTTACTTGCATTATTTCATTTACTTCTTTCAACAACCCTATCTATGCATTAGGCATCCCCAATTACAGAGGAGCATTTGAGATCTTGCTTCCCAGCATATGCTGTCTGTATGGCTCAAGTAAACTCATAAAAAAAAAAGAGAGAAAAAGAAAAAAAGAAGGAAAAACTGAGGCATTAAAAGAGTCAATAATATTGTCATGCTTATATTTCATTGTCAGCTATAACCATATCTTTGCTTAACTAACATCTCCATAGTTCACTGTAGTCATTATTAGCTCATGGTCCCCAGAGAAAATGTACTTAAATTGTTCTTCAGTTTTCTAGCTGGAACCAAGAACACAATTTAAATTGATATTGGTATAATCAGGTCTCATTTAAATTAAAATGATTAAGAGAACTATAAACAAAATAATAATGGCTATATTAATTCTAAATTATTCAGCAGTCTTTAGAACATCGATGTACTTGAAAATACCAATAAATTTTAGAGAGCTCCCCTCAGGGGAGAGGAGATTGTTTCATATTCTGGACAGTTCTAAAAACTACTTGGTAAATTAATAGTAATGATGGTGAAGAGTGGGTAAAGTAATATTACAATTCCAATGTACAAATGAAAAATGCAAGGGCAATGAAATATGATTAATCTAAAGGTACAAAGGCAATGAATGGTTTACCCAAGATCAGTCCTGAAATATGCAGCTGAATATACTGAACTAAAAGGGCCACCAAATTCAACTGTATACAGCAGGTCCTTGACTAACCGCATTTTGTTCAACATCGTTTCATTATAACGTTCATGAGTTGCCACAGGAACTTAACTCTTGATTATATCAATTAGCTTATGGTAAAACTGGTTTCATTATGTCATTTTTGCTTTAAGTCACAGAACTTATCAACAATGTTAAGTAAGGACTTACTGTATTACATATTTAAGAATTCTTAATTGAATGTATTTATTTAATCACTCGAGGTATAATTATATATACTAATCTTACACTGCCTTTCACTTAAGGTTGCCAAAACAGTTAAAAGTCCATTTCACCACTGCCTAGCTCAGTGCGTGGCAAGCAGGAATTCTATATATATTTGTTGAGTATTGTCTGAATTTATTTTCATTGCTCATCAGTTTACGCTTTCCTTCTCCTGCAACAAAACCCCTAGTAAAGTAATAATAATTATTCATTATTTACTTCAGATGTCTGTTGAGTTCTTCTACATAGTTCTTCTGATCCAGAATTGCAGTAATCTGGCCATCTCTGGATGCGCGAGGTGGGGAATAAATATAAGTTAAATAACGTTAGAAATATCAAGATTTCCTACCACCTGATCTTTTCATAAAACACAGAAAAGAAATTGTGGCATAAATACACTGAATCAGAAGACAGACCTGATGTATAATCCCTGACATAACAACAAGAAATCTTGGAGGTTTCAAAGTGAAAAAAACAAAAACAAAAAACATTTCATATATAAAAAGCCCTTTTTATAGATTACACACCTCAATAACTTAGGTTATAGGTATAATGTTACAATCTATCAGAGGCATTCAAAGAATAAACATTTTCTTCTCACAATCAATAGATTTTTTAAGCTTCACTAGTATTATTTACAATAACAATTTCCCATTTGCCACAGGAATTGAATTAAGCTTGTTCTAGTGTAGTAATAGTTGTTCTCAAAGGCTATATATTTGGCTTTACACGTCATTTAAATTTCAAAATGAACGGTATAAAAGGCTTCATAAAGATCAAGTGTTTATTATTACATGAGAAAATAAAGTGTGGAAAAGGCAAGTTCACTCTTGAAAGTAACTAATCTATAAAAGGCAATAGTTAAAAAGATTTCACCTGAAGACAAATCATGGCCACATAGCTCTACAACTACTTAAAGAACAAGTGATATATCTTAGCTCAGTGTGCAAGGTTAAAAACTTCTAATTACGCTTTTGAATGCTAAATTTATATAAAGGGTAAAAAGTTTGCTTTTGATCTCTAATTTCTAAATACTACATGAATATTTTATCCAAAACTAATTATTTTGAAATAATTTTAGATTTACAAGAGTTGTAAAAGTAGTGCAGAGTTTCCATACACTCTCCCTAACATTTTATGTGACCCTAGATACAAATTTAATAGTGCAAATTTACGCAAACTTAGAATGCAGTTGTTCTCAAGAAGACTGTGTTTTCAAATACTACTTGAAGAGAGAGAGCATTGGGTCCCTCTTATAAAAATTTAGTTTTGTTTGCCCCTGAACCACATAAGCAGGAAAATCGCTTTAACTAAAAACTCTTTTAGAGTTTGGCGCACAACAATCAGACTGTTTTGGCAAGACTCTATTAAAGCCGTGTTTCAGAAATTCCTTTAGCAAATCTGTGAAAAAGCAATATTGCTGTAAACTTTAAATACGATTAAAAAAAATTAAAGACAAAGAAACCTAATTTTTTTTGTACATACCCTTCACTACCTTTACTGCTATTCCCATCCTTGAGATACATTGAAAAGTCTATAACTCCAACCTATAAAAGAGAATTTTCAGAATAAAAAGTTACATACTTTTTTCAAGGCATAATACAATGTCTCTTTCTAGGCACTCAAAATGCTTAATATAGTCATGACAATTACTAGAAATTTTTGGTGAAATTTAATGTTTTACTATAATCAAGAATTGACAAGTGTTGTAAGTAAAGAATCAAGATTAAGTCAACAGGACTAGAAAATCAGATTAGAGTCAACAGAATACAAATTTAAGGTTTAATGTTTCTCTTTTGCTTATTTAAAGTATTCTGCTACTGAACCTCTATTTACTCTTATAACTTTTTAAAAATTATAATTACAAAACAACATACCTTTATAGAAGTTTCAGAAATTACAGATAAACAGAAGAGATACAAAACATCCATCATCCCAACCACCTGAAGACAGCCACTGTGACACTTAGCTATCTATTCTCCCAAACTTTCATTGATGAATATTTAAATTTTTCAAGATTGCTATTTTATCATTCAGCTTATTTTTTTTAAAATCTACATCAGAATATCATATTTCCTTTTCCATTTTTTCAGAGTAAAAAGTAACAAAAAATAATCATAGTACTTCATACATAATAGGTGAGAAATAGTTACAGTAAAAGCACTAGCTTTATTTATTGGATAATGAATATGTGCCAGGCCCTGTTCTAAATGCATTACATGTATGAGCTCCTTTTTTATTCCTCACAATAACCCCATGAAATAGATTGAGATAGTCTTTTGTATCCCCATATTACAGATAAGGAATCTGAAGCATCAAGAAACTAAGTAACTATAAAATATATGTGGCTAGAAAACGAAGAAGCTAGAATCTTAAACAGTTTTGCTTCAGAGCATTCACTGTTAACTACCATGATATACTTTCTTGCTCGCTTGCTCACTCACTCCCTTGCTTGGTCCCTCCCCCCAACCCACTCTCTCTCTCTCCATTAAAATTTGCTTTTTTTTATTTATTTATATTAAATTTATTGGAGTGACACTGGTTAATTAAATTGTATACGTTTTGAGTGTACAAATCTATAATACATCATCTGTATACTGTATTGTGTGTTCACCACCCAAAGTTAAATTTCTTTCTGTCACCATATATTTGACCTCCTTCCCCCTTACCTACCTCCCCCTAATACTGGCTTTCAGTATTCAGCCTGTGTATATATTTTAGCCTGTGAAAATATTTTTAACATGGATCACAGTTAAGATAAGAATTTGAAAAACATTCATAATGCATAAATGAGCCAAACTGGAAGGTAAAACAAACTGATTTTTTATATTCACATCAAGAGTAATGAAAATTCTATTTATGATTTACAGAATTTCTCCTAATTTGGTTGGTATAATCTGATAAATCCAGCTTCCAAGAAAACAGAACTCCGAGTGACATACTTGGTAACTGAGTATCTTTCTCATACCTGAGAATCCAAATCTTCTCCTTTCATACAGAAATTGGCATCAATGACATTCAGACCCACCAACAGACCAGCAATTATGGCTCCTTCTTCTTCCATCATGAGTGCATTTGGTTCATAGAATTCGCTGTAAGAGAAATCCATGGAATGCTCTATTGTAAGAAAATCTCAAGAATCAATGTTGTAATCATGAGACAAGGAGAAAAATGCTTGCCTCATGGTTGAAATCAGTCATCTAGGATAACAATGACAAAGAATACAAAAAGGATGGCTTGGATACTTTATTTAGATTATAAGCACACGAATAGACTCTAGATAATAAACAGTTCAGCTGAAAGAAAAGTATTTTCATTAAAGTGAATATTCATGCTTTTCCCACATATACGTATTGTGAACAGAAGTTCTTCACTTTAATGTAGACCAATTAATCCATTTTTTTACTTTACAGATTTTTATCCTGATTTAAGAAATTTCTGACTTATTGAACTTGGGCAAATGCTAAGGTATCAAAAGCCCTTCCTGTTTTCTGGAGGTGTTATGTTTTGGAATGTCCTATAAAGGACTGGATATTATACCACAGTGACGGACTGCATACACGTAATACTAAATACACCTATTCTTGAGTGTTTGTGAGCTATCAGTTGAACTCCGTAAAATTGTTATGAATCAACTGTTTCTGATCTACACTGGGAAATTTATATGATTCAACCTTATGTCGTAGAAAAGAACAAAATTTAACAAGATGACCATACCTGAGAAGCTCCTTCTTATTGATCAAAGCTTTCATATATTCTGAAAGTTTCTTTTGCATTAATGCCAATCGAAGCCAGGCTCTTCCTCTGCCTACTGGTGTCCTACAAAAACACAGAAACCAAACAACTAAAAGTAGCAGAAATAGGGGCCGCAGTGGAACAGATTCACTTACTCTTACTAATGGTGCCCCAGCTGGACATGTACACTGAGGTGCTCCTCACAATTTCTCCCACCACATTCTCACATGAGGAATTCTGTATGGGCTAGAGGACCCCCGAGGATATGTTTGGAACAAATGCTCTGTTGAAGAAGTAACACCTTAATGAGACTATAATTTGAAGGCAAGACTTCTGAAAGGCTCAACTGAAAATGTTCCATCATATTAGTATTAGTAAATCCTCATAAATGTAGTATGGATCATAAAATACCCAAATAATAATAGTGTGGACACAGGCCACTTAAAACTCTACAATTAAACCAATCTAATTTGGGAATGTGATTACCACTCCTTTTTAACTTCTAAGGCAGGTTCCAGGTGTCAGTTCCTGAGGTTCACTTGACAACTGTTTTAATCTTGGTTCTCAAATTCCATCGAACACATTCTTTTTCTTAAATCAAGTCCAGCATGCCATCTCCCCTAACCTACTTTCTTGAAATTCACTGATTCCCACAAGTGATTTTAAAAAATAAAGAAATGTTTGGTATTTTAACATAAAGACAACCTCTCTCAGATTAATAATTATCCCTCATGAGCATATTTCTCTTAATATTCTACATAACAGTGCCTATTCATAACAACAGTATGCATTCGGAATTGTTATGAAATCAGTTATTATGGTCATCATTGTCTTAGTTCCCTCTTCAAGGAGACAGTTAATAAAAATGTTTTCTTTAACCAAATTCAATCTGAAACTTACTTAAGTCCTGGAAGATCTTTAACACTTGCTGTTATCTCTGCAGCTTCTGGAACAAGTTTTTCTACCAGTTCTAGGGGCCCCCAGAAGGATTTATTCTGTCCAAGAAAAGTTTTCTTAGCTAAAGAGATAAAAACAAAGCAGTATTTTTAAATGTTTTTTTACAACATAAACATGCCCTCTGCCCACCCCCCACAAACAAAAAACTTTCTCCCATCTATTCAATGCTCTTTTCAGAAAATGAATTCTAGATTATCAGATATTTCTAAAATTATTCATGCTTTCAGAATACGTAACATTTTATGAAAATAAAAAATCCCTGCTTTCCCAAGACTTGGCCCTTCCTCTTACAGGAAGACTTTGTAAACTAGCCCTATAAAATAACGAAACATTTGAACAATATAGCAGCACTTAAAGCTGTGTGGCACTAGTGAAGAAAACAGTCCAATGGAAAAAAATATGTAATCCAGAAACGGGCTATCAAATAATGGGGAGAGAGAAGGAAAAGAAGCAAAGGTGAAGAAGACCAGGTTCAGAACTCAAAAGCTTATGGTTAAGTGAGAAGGGCATGGAAACAAGAGTGAGGAGGTCAAAGTTCTAACACTTGCTCTGTCCCCACTCACTATGTGATTGTGGGAAAGTCACATCCCATTCTAGGCCTATTTCCAGCCTGTCAAACAGAACTGCCATATTGGACTTGTAATTACATACTTGTAATAACTAATTACAAGTATATCTAATACTTTAGACTCCATTAATATGGTGTTTTTCTAAGTCCTATAAGTCCTCTAAGTCAACCATATTCCTGCACCATATAGGTAGCATTCTAAGGGATTAATATTAATCCTAGCCTTTTATTCTTTGGCTCTACAAAAAATGCTTTTCTTCTTGAGCATGCATTGTCAGGAAACAGCTGAATGAACATTTGCATTTTCAGGCCAAGTCCTACCTTTTAATCCATGTTTCAGGCAATGCTCCATCACCACGAAGAACTGCTGGAGAGGTGCGTAGTCAGAGTCCAGAGTTCTCCCCAAGTTCAGAGCTGATTCGATCAAGCCCTTGATACTCAGCTTGGCCATGTTCATCAGGTTCATGCGTTCGTTAGCCATGAGATAATTAGGATCTGCATCCAAAGGGGAAGAGGATGATGCCTGGTTACTGGAAATAGTGCATTTTAAAAATCAGTATAATTTCTCTGTGTTGACATTTGAATTAATGGTGCAAAAGCAATGGTGGGTAAGACAGTTGGTGTCTTGGCAAAAATCAAGGCAGTGGCACCAAATTATACTATTAGTTGTCATCTTCTCCGCCATGTACTTGTTAGGAAAAAAAAGATGTCAGTTTCCCTTAAGAATATCCTTGATGAAACAGTAAAATTTTTTTATTTTATTAAATTTTAAGCTTTGAGTACAGTCTTTTTAATATTTTCACCACCACCTCTGCCACCACCCTAACCTGGGCGCTCATAGTAGCTCACTATTGTACAACCCTCACACTAGTTTGCTTCCACCCATGCTCGGCCCCTCTTATTCTCTACAGTTTGTGAAGTGCTCTAAAAAATAAACTGATGTAGAAAAAGAGGATAAAGTACTTGAACTTTGTTCCAAATATACTATTTGCATTATTATTGGTACTCATGCTAATTAACATCATTATTTAAAGCATTAAATGAACTAAAAATATTAGCATTATTAGTAGAATGCAGTATTAGAACTTAATCACCTCCCTAATATTTTTTTTCAACTCCCAAATTTTTTAAGATTTAGAATACTGTGTGTGGTTCTCATCAACCAGACAAATTATTTAAGGAAAGGGACTAAGTACCATATTTTATCTGACAGAATTCAGAGTAATCTAGACACTTATTACCTTCATTTACTGGTGTGTACCCTGTATCAGATACTGTGAGCTGCTTCTTACAATTATGATCTCAATTATTCCTTACAACATGCTAGAAGACAATTACCAACAGCTCCAATTCTCAAGGAAGGAAAATGAGGGTTACAGAATAAAGTAGCTGGGCCCTGGGCACAGCTAGTAATACACAATAGAGCCAGGGTCTAGATCCTATTTCTTCAACTCCAAACCCTGTGCTCATGACCACTATAATCCACATACAAATGAATCAATGACTCCAAATAATGTTTATCCTTCCCTCCCACTGACCATTCTTTTACATGATTATCTTATTTAATTCTTGTGACTCTATCATTTAAGTACTGCTCCTTCTTTTTGGGTGGTAAAGCAGCCCCATAACAGTTAAGTTCATAAGTGACAGAATTTGGACCTGGATCTGACATGAAAGTTAATGCTTTTTCCACTATATATGAGCATCTTCCTAAACATCAAATATGTCAAATTTCTAAAGAAACTGAAAAAGGCCTAGAGATCTATGAATTATTTTACCTCTTCTTAGGAAGACTAAAAGTACTAATAAAACTATGCCCCAATACAAACAAGCCACAACACAAACCAGATATTATTTTATTCAAATTGCCCCAAGTAATTTTCTTCACATGTTTTTCATTTATATCTACTTTCACAGTTAAATGAGCAAAATCAAATAGCCAAATTCAAAGCTAATCTTCTCCATTAAGTTTAAGAACTTGTAGGTTTAAATTTACAAATTTACAAATTTACAAATCTTGGTTTGTTGTAGTATTCTCTGAGGTAATATTTTTACAGAATAATTTACTATAAAAGTCAGAATTGACAGATGTTGCCATTCATTTTTTCTTGTACACCAACATATTTTAGAGCCATGTCTCAAATGTGGCTCTCTTTGTTCAAGGTAGATCAACTTGTCAAGATTAGAATAAGCTCACAGGGGAAACAGAAAAAACAAACCAAAAACAAAAACTAATCCCTCTCCCCCAAATAACAGCAGTGAAGAATTTCATCAGATATTAATTTCCAACTTTGTTACCGGCCATTTATGGTAGTGTTTCTGACCTCTCATAATCACTGGGAAAAAAAAAAAAAGGACAGAGGGGTATGGGTATGCATGAATGTGGATAGTTACTGAATTCTCCATTTAACGCCTCCCAACAGATGTTAAGAAAATGTGGTTGAAGTTGGATAACTGGCTGCCAGTAAGGAACCATTCCCTCTGCCTCAAGCCTATAGATCATTAATTCAGGGAGCTAATAACAAAATTAAACAATGCTGCTAGTCAAAGCATATAACGCGATTTCAACCTAGGGAAAACCAGTCACATAGGGAGAGCTGGATCTGAAGTATGTACAAAACACCTCGCTTTAAGATATTTTTCTAGAAGTGGATTTACACGAGCTCTTCTACATTGCCTCATCTCCTTGTAATTAGTAGCAGAAACATTCCAGATATCTGGTTGTAGTCTGGGGTGCATAAACTACAGAAAGATGGAACTAACACCCAGGGAAATTAAATACCAAATACGTTGAAGTCCATTAGTATGGTTCTATAACATATTTGAAGTAACCTACATCAAACACAAACAAGCCACATATTCTTTAGAAATCATTACTCTCTACTCCAGCACTACTGACCTTTTGGGACAGATAAGTTTTTGTGGTGTGGCTGTTCTGTGAATTAAGTTTAGCAGCAACCCAGGCCTTTACCCATTAGATGTCAGCAGCACCCTTCAATAATGACAACCAAAAATGTCTCCAGATCTCCAGATATTGTTAAATGTCCCCTAGGAGACAAAAATCAGGCTCCCTCCCCTTCGAGAAGTATGACTCTAAACAAATTTTACAAAATCAAACAAAAATCAGGCTAACTTGACAATTAGACAAAAGAGCTCAAAAGAATTTACTGCTCATTAACTGTTTAATTAATGCATAAGTTAAAATGATTATTTATATTAATATTAGTTATATATTGATTGTTATTATATATTAACACTTATAAATATGCATGTTATTAACATTTTTGTATTGAATAGTATACAAGAGTATGATCATTAGAAATAATTTTAATTGTTTTCTGGTTAGTACTATATTAACCTACTAAAAATAATTAGTACTAAAAATTAATTTTTTTCCATTTTGTAATAATGGTTACTAGTTATGAATACTAAATCATTAATTTGTCACAGAATAAGAAATTTTGTATTGAATCAATTTGTTTTCAGGTATAAAATGATTTTGTAAAACTAATATATGCTGTTAAAAAGGGCTACAACAACCAGATGAGAGCACGAAGGGACTTCTCAGGAGCCAATAAAGTTGTTTTTTGATGTGGGTATTAGTTACATGAAATTGTTGAATGTGTGGAAATCCATTGAGCTTAATATTTATGCAATCTTTTCTGTATATTTTATATGCTTAACTATAAAATTTAAGTAAAACTGTTATATAGGCCAGAAAATGGTTTTTAAAAATGCATGACTTTCATAATGTGATTAGTCATGCTTTTTCTATGATAAAAATTATTAAAGTTTAAATTCTTCACAATGCTAACATTTAACACTCTCATCTCCAAACTGAACTTTGTTTGGTTCGTTCATTCGTTCGTTCATTCATTTAATCATTCATTTTTTTCAATTAATACTGAACATCTACTGGGTGTTAGATACTGTATTTAATATTGGGAATCCATAGTTAAAAGACCTAGTTCTGATATCAAAACATTTATAATTTATCAAACTTGAGTTATATAGAAGTCTGGAGAATGAAACAGGTAGCTTAAAGAGAACACTTGAAATTTCAGGATATTCATCATCTTTGACAAAGGTCAGTTTTTATTCTGGAATAAATTTTTATATTAAACCAAATATAGTACCCATTTTATGGAATCAAATGTAATTTTATATCTTTTTAAAGGCTAAGACAGTAGATGTGATATTAATGTAGGTTACCAGGCAGGCTGTAAGTCCAATAAAATTTCTTCATCCATTGGTGTACTTTGAAAAAGTGTGAAAAACACTGCAAACACAAAGCAATAAGAACACTAAAAAAGATATAATCAGGACACTATGCAGCTATGCAGAGAGGAAAGCTACTTGACCTGGCATGTATGTGTATATAAGTTCTCAGAGGATGAAGTTTTCTTTTTTAAACTTATAAAATATGTTTATTCACTCTATAGCATTTTAAGGAAATTAAGAAATATCCATTAACATAGTTATTACTTAACATTGTACTGAGGGTGGCAGACAAATATAATTAGAGAAGAAACTGGAGACATATTAAGTATGAAAGAGTGAATCAAATATTACTGCTCTCATACAATCTGATTTTACACCTAGAAAATTAGACCAAATAAACTAAAATCTATACAAAGACATAATAATTCACAGAGGTAGCAGAGTATAAAATTAATATACAGAAATCAATAGGTGCCATATATTTTGGTAACAGAAGATGAAACTTTTGAGTTAAAACTTCAAAGACAAA